GTGATACTGCCTCGGAAACCCAAGGAGGGGTTGCTATGAGTCAGGTCTGACTCGACAGCACATAACAACAACAACAATAAAATAAGAGTGGCCAGAGCAAAGGCTGGGATAGTGCAGTTGTGTTCAGAAAGATTCATATCCTGCTTTGAGGACCCTGTTAAATTCTCCATATCACATTGTAAAAGTTACACTGAAAAGCTTGGGGTATATTCAGAGAGGAATGATCAAAATAGGGAGAAAAAGTGATATAATAAGAGAAAATATTGATAGAATACAGGGGGAAAAAAGACTTGGCAAGCTATGTTGGCTTTCTGCCATAATTTTAATAGTTGATGCATAGAAGAGGTCTACGCTTTGACAATCCAAGGGCTGACTACACAGTGACTTGTCAAGGATGAACACTCTGAAATGACTTCTAAGCTTCTTCCAACTCAAGTTTTCTGTAAATGAGTCCTTAAGTTTTCTTTGTCCCTTTTATTACACTGTTTTTTTTTTTAAATTCACAGTCCAGGTATTGTGTTAAGACCTGTGAGTTAAATAAATAAATAGCCATTAAAATAAAGACTTTTAAAATGAATATTTGGAAGAAGTACTAAAATGTATACATTACAGGGGAAATTCTTAACTCAAGCATGTTGATGGCTTTTAAATCGGTGTAAAGGTCATAGTCATATTTTTGCACAGATTCCTCATATTTGGAAGTATAGAAATTCTTTACAATTTGACTGCATCAAAGTTGAATAGGAAAACATATTGCAGCTGCTCAAATAAGAGGAATATTAGATATATTAGAAAAAAATAAGTTTTGAAAAATAGGAAGCAACACAGCATTGAAAGAAACTCTTTGAACATAATGCCTATCCATATTCTAGAGACATATTTGAGATCCAGTAAGATGATAATGAGTCATTCATTCTCTTGTATGGCTAAACCTGACCTGGAGATTCTTTTTGCCTGAGCAATATAGCCAGGCAACAGTGTCACTTTTGACCAGCATTTTAGTTAGTGATGTGTTGATCTGAAAATAACAGATAATCAGAGAGTGGCTTAAGCTCTCCTGGTTATCTTTCACCACCACACAAAGAAGATTTGAGGGAATCTGCTAGGGGCAGATGGTGGCTCAACTCTATGATAAGGTGCTCAAGTGCTCTCTCTCTTTCTGCTTTACCTTTCCGAGCAAGAAGGCGCACATCCTCATTTTCATTGCTTTCCAGTCCAAAGATGGCTGCTCTACCTGCAGGCCATATATGCATGAAAAGAGTGAAGGGCAAAAGGGACGATTTCCTCTATAGAGACTGTGCCTTTTTATTATTATTATTCGGGAAGAAAAAATCTGCTCATGAATTTCTATCTATATACATTGCCAGCATCATGTCACATGGCCATTACTCGTTGTAAAAGAAGTTCCAAAACGATTTTAACTTCTTAGGTTTTAGATTAGAGGACATCAAGGAAGAAGGTGGTTGTGAATTATTTTTGATGTGGCCAGTCCGTAATGTCTGCCATAAATCCAGGCAGATTCATATAGGACAACATGATTTTTTAAATAAATAAATACATAAAATAACAATGATCCTTCATGTCTTGTTATTCCAACTTAAATTTTGCTTTACATTGCTTATGACTTAATTATATGTGAACTGGAAGATATTCAGCAGTTGTGTTAATTCAATGCATTTAGAAAAAGAAAAGAAATATAAATTGTTGCAAATGTGTTTCAGTCACTTGAAAATTTGATGCAACATTCAGAGGATAACCCAAATCAGATTCGAGTGTTGGCACAGACCCTAACAGATGGTGGAGTCATGGATGAACTGATCAATGAAGAACTTGAGACATTTAATTCTCGTTGGAGGGAACTACATGAAGAGGTATGACAATAAGGGTGAATAAAATCCATAAACTTATTTCCATAAATATCTAGCAAATTCTTTCAAATATTTTTGTAATATATATGTGTTATGATCATATATAACTTGTTAAGAATGCACATGATTCTCTTAGTACCAAACATATTGTTTGTGCATCTCAAATATGACAGGGACTCTTATTCATAAAAATAATGAAGAAATTTTCATATTTCAGAATTCATACACCATACATGTTTTGTTTTAATAAAATAATATATTTCTCCCAATCGAAGGATGTTGTGCATAATTCTCCTAAATCAAGAATGGATTTTATGTTAAAAGGAAATCGTAATAATGAGATTTAATTCCATATCCATTTATTGGCTGTCTATACTATAACTCAGGCACTATTATTTGGTAATAAATAAGACAAGATTTGTATCCTTCATAACTTCTAGACATGGGTTAATGAAGCAGAAATTCATTGATATCATAATGTGTGCAAGACTTGAGAACAAATATTCATAAAATGTATAAAGAACTGGGTTGAAATTTAACACAGAGGATCAGAGAAGCACAAAAAAAGGACTCTCACCTTTCAGGATCTGAATAGGAAGATGTATGAATAGCCTTCTTGAAGAAGATTAGCTATGATCTACTTTTTACAATAAGAGTAGAAGATAGCTACCTGCCACATGTAGGAGGGCATATCTAGTCAAGGTGAAGGACACGTGGGCAGAATTTGAAGTATGAGAGTGTTTATATATGAAAACCTGCATGCCATTAGGTTTTGCTAGGGCAAAAATCTCAAATGACGGGAAGCAAGTCCAAGCAATTAGGTGTGAGGAAGATTTCTTTAAAAAACAATCCCAAACTATAGCCATGTACTTAGGATACCACCAAAGGGTGAAAAATATGAAAAAGGGGGATGGGAAGGTGCTATGACAGCCACTCTTCAGAAAGAAGGTTGGGCAATCTACTTTCATAATGATAACCACCACGGAAATCCAAGGAGGGGTCGCTATGAGCTGGGTCCGACTTGATGGCACATAACAACAACAACAACAACAACAAGGTAGTGTAGAGATAGAGTGATTATAAGCAGTGAGACCAGTTTAGAAGTGATATTTTTGGTCTCTTGAGGGGAGCTCTGGTAGCGGAGTGCCTAAAGCACTTGACTGCTAACCAGAAACTGGTGGTTCAAACCCACCAGCCACTCCTCGGAAGGAAGTTTGGGCAATCTACTTTAATAGTGATACCTCCTCAGAAATCAAAGGAGGGGTCACTAGGAGTCAGATCCAACTCAATGGCAGTGAGTTTCTGAGATATCTGAAGTAAACCAAGAGAAAAAGAATCATTAGCGGAATTTAGGAGTCAAACTCAAAATCAAGTGTGAAACGGAGGAAACAAGGTCTGCATGAAGATGAAAAAAAATCATCATATGTAAGAGAAGGCCCATGTTAAAACTCCACTGCCAACCTGTCAGTTTATCTTACTGTGGTAGCTTGCATGTTACTATGATAGTGGGAGATAGGACACTGGTATTTGAAACACCAGCAGAATCACCCATGGTGGACAAGTTTCAGTGGAGCTTCCAGATGAATATAGAATAGGAAGAAAGGCCTAATGATTTATTTTGAAAATTAGCCAATGAAAACCCTCTGCATGACAACAAAAGCATTCTTTCATATAATATTTGTGGTAGTTCAGTTTGTGTGTCAACTTGCCTGGGCCTGGTTGAGTGGCTGGGCAGCTGGATGTAGTATATTCCCCATGATGGGACTGGTAATCAACTCCATGGTGGAATCTACTGTGAGCAGCTGAGTAGATGCCTTAGAGATGTGGTCTGCTTCCTGTATATAAGGAGAAGCCTTGGGGAACGGTCTCTAGCTTATGGCATGCTTGAACCCTGCATGTAGCTGTGTTGTTGTTCAGCAGCCTGCCATGCTCTGCCGACCTTGGGACTTACAATGGACTTGAATTAATGGTCTGCCATGTGGTTTGGTAACATCAGGACTGTGCCTTTTTACTTGTCAACTGTGGGCTTGGCAGCCTCAGCAGCCAGCAGCTGTCTGAGTGAAGAAAAGCCTCTAGCTTCAGTGGGCCAGGAGCAGGAGGCAGAGCTGAAGCCTAAGGTTGAGGGGATTTCACCCAGCCCCTACAGCCTGGCACTTTGAACTCGGACTTAAAACCTCCATACTGGAAGAGAATAGACTCTTGTTTGTTAAGGGCATCCCGTTTGTGGTATATTCCTGTCAGAGTAGCACTAGGTAACCAAAACAATATGAGAAGATGAATCCTCTAGGTTGGGAGACACTAAAAATACATAGTACCTGTAACAATGGACTCAAGGATAAAATGAATGTGAAGATGGCACAGGAAAAGCCAACATTTTGTTCTGTTGTCCATGATGTCACCATGAGTAGGAGGCAACCTTTGGCAGTAATAGCAAGAAATATTAAAATCAGGAAGCTTAGAAGTTAGCAATTTAGAAAGAGGAATCATCGAGCCAATATCAAATCTAGTAGAGAGGTCTGATAGGTCTGATAGGTCTGATAGGGTGGACACTGAATGCAGCTTACCAGTTCTGATGAATCTTTGGTGGAGACAAGGACATAGTGGATTGCTGAAGACACTGGAGGAGGAGGAAAGCAGAAAACAAATGAACACTTACCCTTGTAAAGAGGTTGACTGTGAAGGGAAGGAAAGACACCAAGAGGGAAAGTTATTAGGGAGGTATGCATGAGACAGTTTGTTATTTAAATACAGGAGAAGTTTGGTCATATGTAGTAATTGGAAGGAAAGAGGGTTTTACAGGAGGTGGAGTGAGGTACCCAGGGAAGCAGTCTTGAGTAGCCAGCCTCCTTTTTCACCAGTCCTGAAGAGAAAGAGATGAGCAGTGAGGGCCATCAGTGTGAATGTACCAACACCAAACTGCCAACCACTTTTTAATTCTGCCATTGTGTTAGGTGAGTAGTTTACCCATATTTTATACATGTCACCATAAGGTATTGGAGATTGGAAAAAAGGAATTCCAAATAATCCCTTGAATCTTCATTCTTCTCCATTTGCTGCAGTATTATTGTATCAGTAGTAGATACTCTTGTTTTTGTTTGTTTTGTTAGTTGCTACAAGTGGGCTTCAACTCACGGTGGCCCTATGTGTAACAGCATAAAAGGTTGCCTTGTCCTGCAACAGCCCCAGGATCATTGGTATGCTCAAGTCTGTTGTTGCTGCCACTATGTATTTTGACAAACTCACAGATAGGTGTTGGTAGAGATTCCTAGGTGGCAAGTAATTCAAAAGCCAATTACAGTTGGGCTGTAATATGGAAACAGAATGGGTTTTATTTAGACTTGAATGTTAGTGTCAGGTTAGGTATTTTACTTCAAGCAAAAAATCAAAAGCCACATGGTCAAATTGATGTACTATTAAAACATTTTATGTTTAATAATTCTGGGCATTCATCTATCCTATCCTTTGGCATGGTTCTCAGTCAGTGGGGTGAAGCTGATGTAAAAGGGAATCTTGCAGTGGGCTACTGACAATTTCTGAGGAAGTAGTCTCTCAAGGATACAATTAAGTTTGCTAGAAGTGCTGGGACAGTCCTGGGATAGCCTGGGAAGCCATGTGCAAGAGGTGCTGTTAAACTTGGGAAAAGCTAATATGGGCTCCAGGAAGTTTCAGTGGAGGACGGTGCTGCACTTGTGACTGGGTACCCACAAATGTGAGAGGCTTCCTGAAGGAACTGCTTCTGACACGCTGGGAGGAGTGTAGGTGAGCTCCACTAGACATTCACAGGCCAAACTAGAGGCACAGGGATAAGAAGGAAGTGAAAGCGTCTGGAAAGTAAGAAAAATATTTTCTGCTCCCCACAAGTGCCATCTACTAACAAAGCTTAACATCATGTTGCTTTTGTTAGTTGTCATTCAGTCAGCTCATGGTGACCACATGTGTGCAGAGTAAAACTGTTCCATAGAATTGTCAAGGTTATGAGCATTCAGAAACAGATTGGACCTGTCTGTGTGTTCAGACTGCCAACTTTCAGCTGGTAGTCGATTGCTTAACCGTGGGCACCACCCAGGGACTCCTGCTGAATATCATATCAGCTGGCAAAGGGAGCTCTGATAGCATAGTGCCTAAAGCACTTGACTGCTAACCGGAAGGCTGGTGGTTCAAACCCACAAGCCACTCCTCGGAAGGAAAGTTGGGCAATCTACTTCCATAGTGATACTGCCTTGGAAACCCAAGGAGGGGTCGCTATGAGTTGGATCCGCCTCCATGGAAATGGTTTTGGTTGGCAAAGAGAGGAGTGTTCCAATATCAATAACAGGACTGTATTGAAAGGCAGTATCCCTAGCACATCCCTCTACAATGTATGGGCTATTTGTTGTTGTTGTTATGTGCCGTCGAGTCAGCCCTGACTCATAGCGACCCCTCCTTGGGTTTCCAAGGCAGTATCACTAC